GAGAGCACAAAAGTGGCCATTGCACCAAGTGTACGTGCGTGCACCCAAGGTGTAACTTCACATGGCACTGACCTGTCGCTGACCTGCAGGTTGATTGTCACTCCACGTACCATGTATGCTTATATGGACATCTAAAACCTGGAACAACTAGTTGTAGTTGCAAGGTATTTTAAGCACCTTAATCGTCGAATCTTGCATTGGATATACATGTACATAATTGTACATGCTCACTTTCTTGGTGACTAATGGGGAATATTTTGAGTCTAGCTACAACAGCCTGGTGTTGCTTTGTGACTGTAATGCAGTGCGATCTTTGCTCACGTGAGGTCGGGATGTCGGGATGGGTGGAAGCCTGGAAGGAAGATTAGTCTAACATTTATTAGTTAAGTATTTCTGATCACTCCGCGATCTTCATATTCATCACAATCTGAAATTGACTGTCTGACCTGGTTTGCCGCGATCACAGGGCTTTTTCCACTGCATACTAGGCATGCGACAAACACTCCTCGGGTGAAACTGCGGCGCTTTCGCCAGCCTAAACGGTGAGATGTGTAATGAGACTGAAGTCTGAAATAATTCAACGACATTGTTCTGATCGAATCTTGGAACTGGCATTGTGGCGTGGTCGCTTAAGACTAGTCCCGCCCCCTACACACATACACACGAATATTGCTCACTACGTGTTCTGTTGTGGCAATGCTTCCGTCATGCACACACTAACATGGTATCGTTTCGTATATAAGTGATTTGACGACATTCATATGTGGTAGAAGATCCGACAGATGTTCCAGCAAGTAAAACAATGATAATTGTGAGTGTGTTGCAGAACGTCTCTTCTTCCTCACTTTCGAGTCTTTCTCAAGGCCTCACTATAGGAGTACTAATCGACTGCTTCCGCAGGCCTAGTTGGGAGTTCTTGTCAGTCAGTTCTTACATGATTCCTGTAGCAGCCATTATGTTCGCTACCAAGAGATTTACCACCGTGGCTTTCGGCCTCTTTCGCTGTCTCCTCAGCCTCTGGGTTTTCTGCCTACCCGGGATGCTAGGCGCGCCACTGAACTTTTCCTGTCCCCAGATCACCTCTAAGCATCTGCTGAGAGGTCTCAGACCCATCACGGTGTTGCAACTCCAGCAGTTCACGCCACTACCACTATGCAAAAAGGCCAAGCTAGACCGTATTTTGAAGAAGGCAGGAGCGGGAGACCAACAAACTCGCGGGAAATTGTTCCATTCGGCATCCCGACCATCAGCAACATTCGACGGCACCAATGGCGCCGATGTTGATCCGAGTCGAGTAGCAGGATGCACGGCTGCGGATCTTGAGCGATTACTAGTCATCCAGCCGTCACCAGGATCAAAGTGTTCCTGGAGAATGAACTGTGGATATGACGCGGACCGCTTTCCGCAGATACTCTATCATGCCACAATGCCATCATCCGCAGGTAATGACCCGGAGTCGGAGAACACTCTGCAGCAATGTCGCCTATGTAGGCCAGTGTACCGTATAGTGTCCGTGCTCAGAAGACGTTACAGGTCTGCGCAGCGGCACTGCAAGGTGTGGGACAGACAGCCGAGTTTTCTGCGCATCATCATTGGCTACGAATGTCCTTAGAACCACTGGATGATTGCAACCGATAGTGGCCATCGTGAGGGCACTCAGGAGGCCGAATGAAGAATAATATTTTATATTGATCCACATTTCCTTCAAATGATTCTATCTGCCCTCCATACTGCCACTGTTCCCAATAGTATTCCTTCCTGAACATTTCCAGCTCCACCTCGCTGTATATTGGTGCGCTTTCACATTGACAGCGGCTCGTTAGGGCAATGTGCCGCCTCTATTTGTACTCTTGATGTTCTTGAAGAAGGCTACAGCAGCTCCAAAGGTTGGGACTTGCGCTTCCTTCCAAGCGACTGCCGCTTATTTCAGCTCTCAATGCTGTATTATGGTGTTTTTCTGACAATGATCGGAGTGAATTTTTGTTATTTATTGGGACATTGGTCAAACATGTATTTTAAAAATCGTGTACGTATTGATATACAAAGCTGCACGAATAAGATGTTTTGCACGTAGCTGGTGCTATAATTATAAGAATCTGATGTTGAAAATCTACTGCAATGCTTGTGGTTTGAGTGAGAAAAATGCTTGGAGGCGATTCAGTGTGTACACCAAAGTGGCAGCTCATCCCCGGCCTCTGCTGGAGTTTGTAAGAACACTGAACAGTGCCTGGGATGCCGCATCACCATACCAGCAGCACTGGGATATGTTGGCACGTGTCAGGCAGATCAGACTAGTGACGTGGCAACTGATCTTGGGGGTACGTAGGTACTACCCTCAAGAGTTGAACGATTCACAATCAATTGCCAGTTTACAAAGAAACGCGAAATATCTCAATGGAAACATGACAAACTGCCAGCAGCTGCGAACAGCGTCCTAAGCTTGGCACAATCATCTGCTGTATACAGATACTGTTGCGGATGTTCACTGTGAATACGTGTTACTGCACGTGACCGAGAGGAGAGAGAGAGAGCGTCCTTCCCCTCTTTTCTCTTTCTTTGCTGGATGCTCTGTTGCAGATTTTCTTCCTTCTTTGGCTCTGTAGGCAGGTACTAGTAGGCATAGTGGGATGCTCTATTCTGTGTGTGTTGGTCCAAGTTATACCCTGTTTGGCGGATACTACAGAGAAGGTTCTGGGGGATGGATTGAAGGGACAAGTTGCCAGGCAAGCTCAACATGGCCCATTCAGAGGAAGAGCAGTTGCTGGAACAATTGGGCAGGCTTTTGAGTCTCTGTATCAGAGTGTGGAGCAGAGTGTGGTTCTGTTTGGCTTGACCGTTCAGGCGTTGCGCTCTTCTTCGCTTGCTATTTTAGCCACTACCGCGCGTTGCGTGATAAATGTAACCTATTGCCCTAACGCATCGTGTACAATACTCCTTTCCTTGCCAAATTGAAACGCCTGTGTTTTGTCGACGGCCGATTCATGTCAAGCGTCACGTAACTGCCGCTCATGTATGGTGTGTATTGAAGCACCTCGATAGTAGCACCTGTTCGGATTAGTGTTCTCTATTAATATTATGCTCTATTTGTATCTCACATACAATGTTCACGCGGCAATGTCTCAACAAAGTTCTTTTCCGCCGTTACTAACATAACTATACACGTTGCGACGGTAGGATGGATGCGAAACTGTGTTGTATGTTGGTGGATGTTCTGTACGATCACCGTGAAATTATGTTTTTATTGATCGTGTTACAAGTGTCAAGACTCAAAAGTAATCGGTTCACTACGCACCAAAGTCACAACATGAATTATGATTGTGTATGTAGATGGCGACGTGCAGGTGCGTTAGGGTGTTTTCCAAACATGAGTGGTTTGTGCTATGTGAAAGTTGTTTGATTTGTGCTATCCGACCACACTTAGACATTCGATCAGTACCAGTACACGCCCGCACCCGTACATGTTTTTAATGCCTCAGAGCTCGTATCCATTTCCCACTGATTTCACAAGCCGCAGTATGGACAAAACAGCACACAAAGGGTAGGGTACCACATCTCCCCTGGTTTTCCGGCTACGCTGAGGAATGTGCCAGCCACACAATAGTGCTCGGGTTCGGCGAAGCCCCGCGGAGCAGCTTGGATCTAAAGTTGTAGGTGCGGTGTACGTGTCATCCGCTTACTGACACCTGCTTGTAGCACTTGTTTCTCGCTTTGACCCTCTGTGATATCCTCACTTCAAATCGTGAGTTCTAACAATATTAGGAGTGTCGGGTGAGTCCGCATCACTTCCTGGATGTCCAGTTTTCAGCCGGCTCGCTGCAACACGATTAGTAGATCAGTTTGTCCGGTTTTAGAACATGTCTCATGAGTCAGAGACTGACCGTGTCCGTATGTACATGTAGGTATGCTGATTTAATATGTTCGAATGTTACTTCTTGAATGGAGCGAAGGTAGTTTCCCCATGTTGCCCTGACTAGGTGATCTGAAAGGATACTAGTACACAATGGAGATGGGGGTGCAGTTTACTTACCCCTTTCGTGGCCGTTTTGAGTGCACTGTAGTACACGTACAGGCCATTTCGCTCCCACCACTACTACTAGTACTAGCACTACATGGTATCGTTGCGTAGCCATGTTGTTTGCATACTGCCATGCTAGACGGATACTAGTATCCTGATTGCATAGATGGTAGATCTACTATACTGCGAAGTGAACTTGCAATGTAGTTCACCATACACCTAACAACACCACAGTGTAAGCGATTTGACCTACTGCTGTGAGCCAGGTAGTCCTGCCTTGGGCGTACCAAGTACGTGTATCTTTTCAGACTAAGACAACATGACTATTCTCATCGCCTGGGGACTCCGGGAGTCGTAACACTACCCAGCTACATAAGGTCGGGTGTTGATTTACCACTCCTGTTATGGATGACCTTCGTTTAACACAGTCACTCTGAAAGAGTTAATCTGGGCTGCATTCTCAGGGAGTGTTATGTGCAGGCAAACCTGTAATCAATGGTCCATTCCATTGGGCGTTGCTTGATGATTTCTCAAACACGAAATACAATCATTATACTACTGCAGTCAAATGGAACACCGGTACTGGTGTCTGCGTGCACCGTGCCGAGAGGGGAAGCTGTCTTCCAACTCCGAGTTTCACTATCTGTAGCATACCGGTATTCAGTTACCTTCGGTGACGTCTTTCATTCGTGATTTTTCTCCTCCCCTCCCCATTACTATTATTATTAACTTTGTCATGTCGCTCAAATGTAGAAAAGGAGGCGCCATTGCCTGTTTGTGGTGCGACTTTGAACAAACTTCAGCAACAAATTCAACAATAGCTTCACTTCAAATCATGATCCTGTTTAGGTGTCCTGTGTCTGTGATCGTGAATCACAGAATAAAGAGAACAAGCGATAACCATGGTAACCCATTAATCGGGCAAGGGAATCTATCATGTGAACGTCTACGTCATTTTGCATTCTGTTTGGCGTGTGATTCTCAGCGCTGGGCTGTTGGTCGGGTGGTGGACTACCTAGCGAAGCACTGGAGTCTGTCACACAACCCAGCGGCAGCATCCACTGGTGGAAAGGTACGCAAAACGATCTCTTTCTCTCCCTCTAATCCTCTCCTCAACCTGATTCTCTATGTCTCTCTCCCCTTTCTGCTCCTAACACGTCTCTGTTAGTCTTTATGTCTTTCTGTAGATATGTGTGTTAGTCTGTCTCTTTCTTTCTCTCTCTATCTCTTTCTCTCTCTCTCTCTCTCTCTCTCTCTCTCTCTCTCTCTCTCTCTCTCTCTCTCTTCTTTCTTTCTTTCTTCATTCAGTTTTATGTGTCTTTCACGTACCATGGAATAGGGAGGAAGCATTGTTCAACCACTCAAGCAAAACGTTACCACAAAGCAACAGGGAATATTTGCCTCTTCTCCTAGGCTGCTGTATGGGAAGATTCTTCCGCCCCATTGCCAGGACATTTCTCACAGTAGAGTAACCACTACCTACAAACCCGTATATTTTCTTTTCTTTTTCTTGGATCAAGCTTCTCTCTGTTTGTCCGTCTGTCTGTGACGTGAATTTCTGTATTGTTCTTGACTCTTTCTCTGCTGCAGCGTCTTCAAGTTTACTGTCACAATACGGGTGACGTCATGGAGATGCCTGTGCTTCTCAGGGACCTCAGTGATCGCTTGCCATCAGGCGCTACCATCATACTGGAGTATGCTAGCAGCAAGGACTCTCTCCCTAATCTGGACCAGTATAGACTGTGATGGGATCACGTGATGCCTAAAGACGCGACTATCCGTATTGCCGGATATGCCTATGTCCCAGACGTCTGCTGGCTGCAATCCAAGTACATTCTGCGACCTCAGTGCAGACACGTAAAGCGAAGGGGTGTTTGACCACCTTTACACACAGTGCCTGTAGGCTGATACAGTAGAGTGTAGGTTGAACAAGACTACACCAAAAGCAGTCCTAGCATGTAATTTGCATGGTTGTACAGTACATTGTACATGTTAGCAATAATCTGCATAGTCTACATGACAGTTTCATTCTTGCATGCTCACTATCACTGTATCAGAAAGAGTACATACACTGTACTAAGCTCCCATATCATACTCTTTTACTAGTATCAGTGTGATGGTCATGATGCTATCCAACAGTCCGCTTCTGCGTAGATCCATACCATTCCTTCAAGAGGCCATAAACTGTTTATGCACTCTTGATTCCATTGCATATTGTAGATTTTTCCTGTCTTTGCTACTACCACCACCATCACACCAGTGACTAAATGAGAGGGCTTGAAAGCGCAGAGCCCTCGCTATGCTTTGTATTTACCTAATTCATCATGCGTGTTATTCGAAAATTAATGATAGAAACGTCTTTGCACTACAAAAACATGTATCTACCCGATAATCGTATAATTATTTGTATTGAATATTTGTATTGAATTCTATCATTTCCGGTAACACGTATGATGGCCTAGGTAAAAACAACGCATAGCGAGGGCTCTGGGCTTTCAAGCCCTCTCGTTCCTTTTGTGACGTTGGAACTCGCACGATCGCCCTGCATGCATTCTCTCGATACCCTTCGCATACATGCAAATTCTATCAAGTTGCTTCACGTTATGATCAGTGCTGAAGCTGACTAGCGAGGACCTGGCGTGATATGCGCTGCAGTGCAGTCAGTGCTAATGCTCTGCGGTAGAATGGCCAGGGAAGTCATAGTACTTCGAAGCACAGGGAAACCTGTTTATATCTAAGCTGATAGCTGGAGGGACCTTCAAAATTATGGTCTCTGTTACCAGGTGGTCTCCGTATCCAGGGTCATTTGACTGGAAATAACATCCCTTGATCCTGGTTTCAGTGGTCTTCTAGGACAGGTGGTCGCCTTGTCCGAGTGGTCGTCAAGACAGGTTTTACTGTATTGTTAAGAGCAGCGCTGCGTGTTTCACGGAGGTAGTGAACTGCTCAAGTCACCAAGCAGTAGTGTCACTCCGGAATCAGAGGAGACAGAACTTTGCACACACGTGGTAGGTACGAGAAGTACGACATCATATGTACAATGTACGTCCATCACGCACTTAAAGTAACACGTACATGGTGCATAGTTTATAACTCATAGAACTCACACTGTGGCAGAACATGCCTACAAAGCTGCAGTGAACTTGCGGATAGCTCGTCGTCTCAAGGCTCAGTCAAGCTACAACACACTATCAGCAAGCTTCAATCGCTCTTTTCCTCCTGCTGCGCGTGCTTGGGTAGCCAGACGGGATCAGCCAGCACAACTCACCAAGAGGATCAAGTCAGCGAACCCGGCAGCGACAATGTTCGCCCAAATTCAGAAGGCTCGCGACGATTTATGGAACTGGCTCTTTAACGATCCACGCAAGGACCCGGAGATGCCGCCACATATCACTATTCTGAACAGTATAAGCGAGGGTACATTCGGTGATGTATGGAAGGCGAACTTCCGGACTGCGCGGAATGAAGACGTGACTGTAGCGATTAAGGTTCCCAGCAAAAAGGTGCGTGACCGTCCCGAAGTTATGCGCTCCTTTGCGCAGGAGAGCACCACGCACAGAAATCTCTATCACAAGAACATCATCCGCGTGTACACCACTGGCACCTACAAGCATCTACCGTACATAGTCATGGAATTGGCAAGTAACAAAAGTCTTGATTGCTACGCAAGATCCGTATCGCACTTAGCTGCCTATAGCGATGGTACAAAGCTGTGTAGGATGTGTGCAGGTGTCGCTGCAGGTATGGAGTATCTAGAGTCTCTCAGAATGCTTCATCGCGACTTAGCAGCCAAGAATATCCTCGTTACATCCGACCATACATGCAAAATCGCCGACTTCGGCTTTTCGAGGAAGATGCAGAAGCATTATGTCCAGGGACCTCGCTCTTGGACCAGCGAGTATATGTACTTCGCGTCCAATCCAAACATGCTTTTGCCTATCCGTTGGACTGCGCCCGAGGTTTTCACCGGTCTAGCTACAATCAAATCGGATGTCTGGAGTTTCGGTGTGGTTCTTTGGGAAGTCATGTCATTCGGCAAGATTCCCTTCGGCGAATTAAATCTCTCCGACCCGACTAATTTCTTGAAAACACTCGACCGGGGAGGTCGTCTCCGGCAGACTGCTCGATGCCGTGATGATGTGTATCGCTTAATGTGCGCCACTTGGGAACAGAAGCCTTCGGATCGACCCAGCTTCAGTGTAATCCGCACTCATCTTGAAGCCATGGCTCGTACCAGAGACGGAACTGTGGCTGGACGAGTAGCAGCTCCAGTTGCCGTCCGGCCCACTGCGGTTAGCGGGGCTCGTCGACGTTTTCCCGCTGCAAGTGGACGCGGAGGGGGGCAGCCGAGAGTCTCCATTTAAAAGAGCATTTATCAGTATGTACTATAAAGCCTGATCACTCTTTCCCCAAGCTCTTGCTATTAACAAGAGTACATTGCCCCCTGTGGGTGGGGGCATGTACTTTAATTATAATATTTCTCCATCTCGACTCCACTGGGAACATCAACAATTATTTTTAAACTCTCAAATTCCCAAAGGTTCCCTAGTACTTACCCTTGAGCTTGATTTGGGTAAGAGTTCGACTTGTTAGTGTTGCCTTTCATGAATCTTCGCTGCACTGTTCGAGGTTTGCTCAACTTGCTTTTGGAGGAGTGTTGCGTCTCCTTGAATACCTTGATTTTCTCGCACTTAATTAACTCGTGTTAAGCACATGAACAAATATTGCTTTAGTTTAAAAATTAGTGAGACTGGCGGATAGATTATTGGTATGTTGGCCAGTGACAGGACCAGGGAGTCGTACTCAAACTAGTTTGAGTACGACTCCCTGGACAGGACCCATGAACCATCCACTCTGTTTCTGAATAAACATGTACAAAAAAAGTGCTTTCCCATATTTGCTATGCGACTAAATGTCTGTAGAAAGTGGTCATAGCATGCGGACAGTGGCACCAACACGGTCGACATCGTGTGACCCATAGATGCAAGACTCCAAGAGTTCACTGCAGTTCACTGGAGTTCACTGGAGTTCACTGTAGGGTTCACTGGGGTCACAGTGAACCCTACAGTTTACATGTTGGTGTTTTGGATCTTCTCTCTCACTCAGATCTGCAGAGCGATGAATCAGATTTTCACAGCAAAGTGTAATTCTCTCGGTTTGTACCACAGTCGAAGCGAGTCGGGCTAATGCAATGGTTGACGTAGGGAATAAAGCCAGAACGCAATGACGGGGAAGGGTTGTCATTGGAGCTGGTATAGTGATGCCGTGGGGTTGTTGTATGATTCACTTTGCTCTGCGAAAAGCTACGAACCATCTAACCCTTGGCCGCAACCGATAACAAAACTTGCTTCGGTGGCCGAGATATTCTACCAGCGCACGACCAGGGATGCTATGAACCAAGCTGTGAATTGCTGCTTGTGAAGGTACTTTTAAGAGCATACTGAGAGCATTACTGCCCCTACTTGACCGTGGCATTTAGCACGAGAAGGTAGGATTTTCTCTTCTTACTCCTCAATCCTGTCCAGCCTGGATCACTGGGGCCATCATCAGGCTCTCTGTAGCAGTGCTCCCTCTGGTTACTAGTGTATGACCAAGTCCACTATGTACATGTGCAGTAAAACGGTTAACCTGTCAAGGCGACCGACCGTTTGCATAAGGCGACCACCTGTCCTAGAAGACCACTGAAACCAGGACTGAGGGATGCTATTTCCAGTCAAATGACCCTGGATAAGGAGACCACCTGGTAACAGAGACCGTGTTTTGAAGGTCCCTTGAGCGGTCGTCTTAGACAGGTTTCACTGTACACTATACATCCTTGTCAGGAGTCAGCTTGGCGGGGGAAAAGGTGAGAACACGCGGAGGAGGTGGGAAAGAGATTGCGCATCACTATCATCACCACTACATGTATACCTACTACATGTACCTTCTTTCCATTCGTCTTCCTCCTGACTCGCACCAAACCGGTCTACGCAGATCGTATTACTACACGAGCTGTGCGTGAAGAGTGCGGGTGCCGTAAACGGATGGAGCGCTGCACTGCTAGTAGTAGGACCTCGGTGTGCAGTCATACCATGTACTGTACCATGTCATGTATTTGGCGGCTGTCAAGACTCAAGGTCTACGTATCACACCTAGACTGGAGAGGTGCATACTGTGCAGGAGGTAGGGGTTTGAAAATCACAACAGAATACACACGTCACACAGCTAAAACCGCCAAGGCTAGATTTTGTGGCCTACACAATAGCAAGCGCTCAGCGAGGACCCTCCAACAGCCTTCAGACGACCAGCCACCACACGACTCCCTCTTTCTCTATTGTCAATCCAGGAAGACAGGATCAACTCTCGCTAACAACGATAGAATGTTTCAAGGACAGCCGCCACCCAAACCTAGGGTTCCTTCGTCCATTACCCTGCAAAGGAAGCTTGGCAGTGGTAGTTTCGGCGATGTCTGGAAAGCATCTTGGAAATCCCCGGCATTCGGTACGAAGACTGTAGCAGTCAAGGTCCCCAACCGGTTTGTGCGAACTCACCCCGAACTCCTGCTCTCGTTTATGCACGAAAGTAGCATTGCCAAGGGACTCAATCATAAGAACGTTGTCAGTGTGTATGAGGTGGGTACCTTAGCACGTCCCTGCATTATAATGGAACTGGCAGCATTCGGTAGCCTGAACTTGTACGTGAGACGATTCGAAAGATCACTTGCGCATCGCGACGGTAGCAAACTGTGCAAGATGTGCGCTAGTGCTGCTGCGGGCATGGAATATCTAGAGTCTCGCAGACTGCTTCATCGCGATCTAGCCGGTAGAAATATCCTCGTTGCCTCAGACGAGACCTGCAAGATCACTGACTTTGGCCTGACGAAGAAGATGTTGAAACACATGTATCCCACATCCAGCTCGCTCAGCTCTGCGACCAGCGAGTATATGTACATCGCGTCCAATCCAAACATGCCTTTGCCAATCCGTTGGGCGGCGCCGGAGGTGTTTAGTGGACAAGCCACTATCAAGTCCGACGTATGGAGCTTCGGCGTGGTTCTCTGGGAAGTGATGTCGTTCGGTAAAATACCTTACATTGAACACCCCTCTGCCAATAATCCCATACTCCATAATGACTTTCTCCACCGGGGCGAGCGGCTGCAAAGGCCCGGACATTGCCGCCTCGATATCTATCGGCTGATGCGCGAGACCTGGGCATTGAAACCATCGGATCGACCCAGCTTCAGTTCGATTCGCACACGCCTTGAAGCATTGGCACGAAGTGGCGACAGTGGAGGGGCTGGAGTCGTGAGACCGCAGGCGGCACCAGCAGCAGCAGCACGAAGGGCTACGCCAAGACCACCAACAGTGCGTCGTGCTGCTGATGGTCTTCTTGGCGGCAGGGCTCCGGCTAGAGGAGCAGCCTGGGGCACGTTCTGAGTCGGTAGCACTTCCGCCGCGGACTGTCGCACTTGAGACGGGCCTGCTGTATAGCCAAATCACCTGCGGCCAATGCCGGTATCCAGTCCGCAGGCACGGTAGCGTGTTCCGCTCCCTACAAAAAAAAACTGTACATCGTGCATCAGCCATCTGTCTCACGTACGGCAACCGACGAACAGTATCAGTGCTGTTGTTCTCGATACGAGCTATTCCACCCTCTAGTTGTTGATTAGCCTTTTGCTTTTGATGTTTTTCTTCAACCTTCTTGTACTGCTAAAGCAACAGAGGTATTTTAATACTGTAGAGAATCAGGGTTGCTGCCATCCTGGACCATTGGACCACGAACTTTCTGACTGAACACTGCACTCGAAATTGATTTGTGTACATGACTATCCGAATCCCTTCCTACTAATCTAAGACTGGGAAATATTTCATACAGTAAGATTTTCGTGACAGTGTTTACGTGTGCTATCCCGATTGTCTAGTGCTTCAAAGATCCTTGTGTTTCCTTGAATTTCATTATGGCAATTCCTTACGATTTTTTCAAATTTGCGATTTCCATGGATTCGTGTTTTTAACAGATCGATCCAACACTGCACACACTCTGATTGAAATACTACATTGCAACTACTTCGAAGCACATGTAACTACCTAGATAAACCTTGTTTTAGTTCACACAATAATCATAATGTCATGTTGTTGGTTTGACAGCATGAAACAAGGTAGAGGACACCGTGTTCGGAAACAGTACAACCATCCACGGTTGGTAGAGCCCCGTCTGGTGAGATCATCTGAACCGATTAATTAAAGCCTAGAATAAAGAGGGTCAGAACCGGGTTTAACATACGGTTCAGATGGTCTCAACAGACTGGGGCTCTACCAACCGTGGATGGTTGTAGAAAGGTCACTGTTTCCGAACACGGTGTGCTCCACCTTGTTTTATGTCAAAACAACAACATGCAACTACATGTACCTATATCACTCGAAACTCGTACGTGAAAATGTATTTAGGATGGGAGGTCTCCAGCAGATGTTACAGCGGGAGTATAGTGGACTCTGGTATAAAAGAAATAAAAATAAAAACGCAGTAAATGATGAAGGTACTTCGAAGTACGTTTATTTGTATTTATGGATTCTCCACAGGCCTTCGCCTAAATCGAGGGAGTCTCCGTCAACAGCTTATTAAGAAGAAGCTGAGGAGAGAAATAAGAATAAAAGAGAAAATGATGCGGGGTGGTACACCGTGCTCTATGACATCGCTACTCTACGTGGAATGAAACCAGAGGGCTAATAACGGGTGATAACAAAGTGTGCGCGCCTGCGCGGACAAGAGAGATAAAACATTTTGGTAATTGTTTTTTCATTTGACCCAACGAGACCACACGACGCTTGCAGACCACAGCACGAACAGTTAGCCAGCTACACTCCACGAAGGCAAGTAGTATTACTCCTGACAAGTCATATTTCGTTCCATAAATCTACACAAGAAAGCCTCTCGTGCAGAGGTCACCAATTATAGGCCAATCTCGCTCCTAAGCGTTGTCAGCAAGGTTCAGGAGAGGATTGTTCACCAGCGCCTCTACACCCACATTGAGCCCCACTTACCGGCCGACCAATCTGGATTTCGATCTAAGGATAGTACTGAACTACAGCTCTCCCGCCTAGTGCATGAGATTTCCGCCAGCCGAGATGCCGGTCAGGCAGTGTCAGCATGCTTCTTTGACTTATCAAAGGCTTTTGACCGAGTCTGGCATGCTGGCCTCCTGGCCAAACTCGAGCACCTTGGTATCCGTGGCATTGCCCTTACCTGGCTCACAAGCTCCCTGACTCGCCGCCGACAACGCGTCAAGGTTGGCTCCGCTTTGTCTTCATGGAAATCCATTCCAGCTGGAGTACCCCAGGGCTCTGTCCTGGGGCCTCTTCTTTTCCTGGTGTACACAATCGACCTCCCCCCCCCCCCCCCCAGCATGTACAAACTCCCACACCAAATGCAGCCAGTTCCCCGATGACACGACACTCATCGCGACGCATTACACGAGGGATTTGTCAGCTGCATTCCTCCAACGTGCCGTGGACGCAGCAGGACGATGGTTGAAGGATTGGCATCTCCTCGTCAAAACCACAAAAACCGTCGTCCTTTCCTTCCAACCCCAACACACCATCCACGTCACGCTCCACTTGACTCGGCTGCAGCAGGTCCACCAACATAGGCATCTTGGTGTTACACTCCAAGACGATATGCGGTGGACCCAACACATCATAGAAAGCAGGGAGTAGTAAGGTATTGTACTACTCCCTGATAGAAACCACCAACAAAGCCAAAAAAACTACTACACCAACTCCACAAGACCGTGACGTGGCACAATGAACGCTTCCAGCCTATTGTGAATATATACGACCTACATCCGACCCGTTCTCGAATATGGCAGCCTTGCCCTCTCCAACACCACACAGCAACAGCGGGACACACTGGAGAGAATTCAACGCCGTGCTATACCCATCTGCCTTCGGATTCCCCTCTTTGCACCAGTTCACCACAGTTCCCTCCTCCATCATGCACAGCTCCCCACCCTTAGCTCACGACTCCTTGTTAAACAAGTCCTACTAGCATGGGGCATCCACCACCAAACCTCCCCACCACACCTGCAACAACCCCATCTTGCACCACAACGTCAACACCAACCATACACCCTTCGACAGACAAGGACCTACTCCATCGGACACGCACACACAAACAAGCACCGAGATTCCCCCATCAACAGTGCCCTCACCCTCTACAACTCACTCCCTATCGACATCACAACCCAACCTCGTAGAAATTCTTTCCGAAACAATGCATCCAGTCTTCTTTTGAGCAGTACCTGTTCCTGCTCCGCGCATCCCCCTGGTTTCTGATATCTCGAACGTGTACTCAACTAACTCGATCACCCCTGCTAACGTTATTGCCCCCGCTTGTTTTTCATGATCCATTGCTTCTAGCCTCCCCGGTTAATTTCCATCTAGCTGTGTCTAGCTAGTACCAGTTCTATCGCACTTATGGTAAGTTATCAATCATCCTTATTGGCGTCATGCCATCGTGGAATAAAAGAATATTAATAAAGATGACGCGGGGAACTCATCAGAGGAGAAGCAGTTGTTGAATGAAGGGGTTAGGCTGAATAATGTTATTTTTTTATAGAGAAGATCAGTACTGGCGCAAGGTGTCAACACTAAACTAACTCACACATGTGACAAATCAACACAAAAAGGAATAGTGCGGAATGCAGGTGTTATGAACCCTACCAGACATAACTATCACAAGTGCTAAATCAATCACAATGAGAAGGAGAGGTACACAGGAATAGGTGGCGCTGGTTTACACGTCACAAAGAGTACTGAGGTGGTGACAAAGATAGGTGAAAAGTAGACGCCAAGTGAAAGCCAACAAATCATCACGGACGGACGTCTAACGACACATCTGAAGATTGCTAACTGGACGAGACAAATGCTTCACGAACCTCGATAACTGAAATTCAGCCAACGGTAGGTGAAAGGAAGGCTGCTGGGTGTGACATAGAACTGTGGGCTGCTGAGGCGACGTATCCATCTAGATCTTGACTGCAGGGTTGGCGTCTAACGCTATAATCCGAGCAGCAGATCACATCCTTCCTCTGATCAATGGCAGGTTTCCTGGTCCAGGAGAAGTCATAATTCTTTGTTGCCATCTTCCATAGGTCCGTCAAATAGTAGTGATAGGTTTTTCATTTGACCCGACGAGACCACACGACGCTTGCAGACCACAGCACGAACAGTTCACCAGCCACACTCCACGAAAGCAAGTAGTATTACCCCTGACAAGTCTTGTTTCGTGTGGTCTCGTCGGGTCAAATGAAAAACCTATTACATGTACTACTATTTGACGGACCTATGGAAGATGGCAACAAAGAATTAAAACATTTTGGGCTGGATACAGTAGGAATGGCAGCCGGGAGGGAGATCCATGTGACAGTGGTGACAAAGAGAAAGGTGGCACGGGTGTGTGTGCTGGCTCTAGCAGGCGGGAGTAGATCCGCCAGTGCTCATCTAAACAGCTGTTCTCCAGGATGGAATCCAACACTAGTATGCGGAAGACATTTCTTTAGTGCTATTGACCTAGTGCAAAGGTTTACATAATGATGATCTCTTCCCTTTCGAAAAATACAATGTGACTGTTGGAAGCCTGAAAGGATTCATGCGTTTCTAATGGCAACCTCGGAATTCCAGCCAGGGTCTATTCTTTTTCAATTTACACCTTTGCAATCTTACATAGCACAAAGAAAGTTTTGTTCAGGTCCGAAATGTGAAATTGGAGCTGGTGAATTTGGATAGGTGCGGCACATTTCGAAAGAAATTCCTGCTGGATACCCCTGCGAATACAACCCAGAAGTCGTGAACGCAACCAGTGAAGTCCACGCTTTGAATTCAGCAGGACGGATGTGGAGCTGGAGCAAAAGGTAAGAAATCAGTACTTCAGAAGTGGAAATTTGCAGGAGACCGATGACTAGCCCACATGCACGCCGATGAGCAAGTTGGATTTATGAATGCACAGATGATAATACATGTACATGTAGACTGCGTGCAAGCAGCAAGCTACTCTACCTGCCTAGCCGGCTCCCGATTGAAACTTTAAAATCCACATGGTATTTGAGCCGTCAGATGCGAAAACCGACCTTATGGGAAACACTGCACAGTGCAGAAAAATGCAGTTGAAAGTTGGCGAGTTTACGCAAATTAAAACAGCATCTGCGACTCTGCGAGTCCTCCAAAATGATCTCAGGTCTGAGATGAGATAACTGAATATCCACGTGAAGAACACGCATTTGCATTGGTACCGTTTATATTTTTACATCGCAAATCAAACGCGCCGTTGAAGCATGCCCAATAGTTACTGTGTTAGGATGAAGATGGAAAGGCACTTTTTACCCTATAACATAATAATCATTCCTTTATCTACTACTCATTCGTTATCTACATCCACTGAAGAGCAGGCAGGCACCAGGCAGGCACAGTGGGTTGGTCAAAGACCATGATTGAGATACGAGAGGTACCTGGTTCAAGTCCTGCCTGGGAGCGGTTTTTCCAGCCGTGCTGCTACCCACAGTCAACTGGGAACTTGTGGCCAGGCACAAGGGGTACATGGATGCAGCTAATGGGGTCGCTTTCGGCACTTGTGCCAGTGGTTGTGAGACTTACCCACTCACCCCCACCGTTAGGCGCTGCATCTGCCGCTAGGGTTTATCGGGTGTTAGCGGCCGTCGTGAGTTCCCTTCGGGAACGGATACGATAATTTACTTACTTACTGAAGAGCTCTCAAAGGGCGAAACCGCTGTCTGGAGGATCTGCAACATCTACCCAAGAACAAATTTCCTTGCTATAGAGTTTGGTGTCGTGAATGTGGGCCAAGAGTGCAGTGTGGATTGGTGGAGTGTTTCAAGATGGAAAGGGAGAAAAGAGAAAAGGTAGGATAGCTTGGAGAAGTGGAGTGATGAAAACAGTGAGCCTAGAGAGTAAGAATCATAAGATCCATCCTAGCAATAGCCATGAAAGTAAACTTTCAATAGACGCTTGACTGGAGATATTATTACAGGCATCCTGACCTCTGGTGGCACGGGGCAGTGATCTGTACGTGCACTGAGCATCTGACTCTGAGGCGTAACGTGAACACTCCAGCATTGCTCACAATCGACTCTGAGTCACATCCAGTTTTCTTTACGAAATCCAAAGCAGTGAGCAGTAAAATACCGGTATTTTGCTACTCCCTGAACCAAATGTTTTGTAGGAGAGAGACGCAAGGAGAGTGCGGCTTTTTTTGGCAGACAGCGAGGCGATCAACAGTAGATCTACTTTCAGAACAGGGTATCATACTACAGACAAGAGGTCAGCATGGAAAGTATGGTGTATGTGGTGGTGGTATGCAGTAACCGTAGTGGACCCAGTACATGTAGTCTGACTGGGCTGGTCCTGATGATCTGGACTCAGTGACATGCAAAATGAAAAGAAAGAAAGGGGGCCAACCACAGATTACTACTCTACCGGAGTCGCCAGTCTCAGATCTGAGCAGGGAGTAGTATTATAATACCAGTGAAGTAGTATTATAATACCGGTATTGTACTGCTCCCTGCTCACATCCACACTGTCTATGGAGTTATTTGTGTGGCCAGGACCAGGGAGTCGTAAAATACCGGTATTTTACGACTCCCTGGCCAGGACCAGCTGGAGGACCACTCCATCGAGAGTGTAATTATAACATGCCTGCCAACCAGCCCGCGATTTGGCCGGGACCGTCCCGACGCTGAGGGTGGTAATAGGCACCCAAAGGTGCGTTCGTCGCATGCCTCACAGGTGCATTTGTATATTTTCATATATACCTACATGTACATGTAGGTCTGTCATTGTCCTGATATCAGGTTTGCAAATGTTGGCAGGTATGTTGTTATACTGTAGGCTAGTGTCTCGTATAGAAGCCTGTTTTGAATACAAGCGAAGCCTGACTTGAATAGAAGCCTAGCCGGACTTACATCGGCTTATACGGCCGTAAGCACCTGTTTTTATACGCGACATTTAAATACGGTAAGCTCCTGCTAATACCAAGAGTACAACATGTAAGCCCCCAAATCTACTCCAATAACTTACTTTAACCGTGGCGTCCAACAATAATCAAGAGCGCATGACATGGGCGACTGCTCAAAGTGCTCATACAGTTTTTGTAAGTATCGTCAAGACGACAAGAGTACAGTCATGTAGTATCCTGTTATCAAGCTTACCAGTGCAGCATGTACTCTCTGCCTGTCTTGCTCGGGCGGATCCGGAGGGAATATAGTAGTAAAAATATAATTATGTTAATCTTATAAACTCAGAAATTCCCCAATATGCAGCGCACGTGATGCAGCCTTTCCGAGAATCGGAGTATCCAAAACGTACAGTATAACGTACATCTAAAAAAACGTGCATGGACGCGTGTAATAACGCGCGTTGCGCGCGCGCACTTGAAAAAAAGGAAAACGAAAAATTGAAAAAGAAATTACATGTTGCCACACTTTATTTATTTTGAGTTTGAGCCACTAGCATTTTGTTCCAGGATCCGGGAGCACATTTGTACCAAGCACAGGTGTGTGCATTCTTGATGCTTCAGGGCCTGTGCAGCTCTTTGACTTTCTAGCGAGAACGTATGTACTGTGGATAATGGCGAACCTCCCTTCTTGCTGCTGCCAGTCTGACGATGAGGAAGCCAGCCATGCCGAGCAGGAACTGGTAAGAGAGTGTGGTTCGAATTGTATTCTCATTTTCCACCCGCGCTGTTTTGTGGAAATGGCATTGGCACATTGTATAATGAAATGTTGATTAGGCTATCAGTTTTAGTTGGAGGGGGAGCGGCTCGAATTACCCTCGGCCGGTGCTCTGCATTGGGCAGCATTGTATAAAATTTCGGACATCCACACCCACAATACTTTTGTGTTCATTTGAAAGCTGGGGCGTCAACGAACAAGAAAAAAATTCGAAATTCCTCAAATTTCAGTTCAGTCATCACTTGACGTACTGCCAGGGTGGGAAAGTTAGTTCATTAGTAAATGACCACACCATGGAAGCAAGAAGAGATACATGTAGCAGTGGAAAGGGTACGCACGGGAGATTGTCCACTGCACTTTTTTGGTTTGGTTTAGTTCCATTGATTTGACTTGTATGGATTCGAATCAGAATATGAAATACAGTCAACTTCGCTAATAACGACACATGCGGATATAACGACAATTCGCGAATAACGACAGCATTTCCATGCCCAGAGCAAAGTCCTTTCCAACTGTAATACATATAATGAGACTTCGGGTATAACGACACTTCGCGAATAAGGACACTTTTATGACATCCCGCCGAGTGTCGTTATAAGCGAAGTTCACTGTATGCGCTTTTCAGGGTATACATTTGAATGGCTTTCCATTGTAGAGTCGTGTACATACACATAGCGTCCTGGCTCATGAGGGACTTTGCTGCTGATTGTTCTGAAATGCGACGTCATGCGCACACGTACACTTGCACTGAGCTTGTATGATGTGACCAGATGACTGCAGTGCTTGTGTTCCTGCGCCACGCTATGCTGCAGTGTGTTGCACTGGGTACTAGTATACTGACTATACCATGTGTGCCTGTAGAGGAGGCGGTCTCAAATAGGAACGGTTTGACAGCAAAATTGTGTACACCCAAACCGATCATCAGTGTGGATTGTTCACTCGAAATGTCTTTGTGGAAAGAAGCTGGCATGTTGAAGTTTGCTCTGAGGCCAGAGTCGATCGGACTGAGCCACTCCTTGTTGTTGGCCAGTTCCCTCCAAGTTGCCCGATTTTTCGTTTCAAATATTGGTGTCTCCAAACCGGAGCAGTTTTGAAGTGCACGTCAGGTTCAGCCTGGGTTCTGACATTCATTAGGTAATGGCTATCGCTCCACGACGGCCAGTACAGAGCAACAATAAGTCTTATGTGTGCTTCCATTAGTTGTCATTGGTATACAGTGCTTTATTGGCGAGAGGCGAGCCGTTGTTTACCTGCGGCAAGACGTTGATTTTTCGAAAGACGTAAAAACTTAAGTCGCAGTGCGAAGCACCACGTCGAAAACGCACCTGCTTGGTATGGTGCTTCTGGTGATCGCAGAGCCATGAAATTTTGGCTGTGAGTATAACACATCATAGTCTTACTGTGACGTACGTTTTCTATTCAAAATACTAGGGCTGAAAGGAATATTCGAATTATTCGAATATTCGAAATATGCAAGGCGGAAAAAGAATATTCTTCGTTAAAGTAGAATAGGAATATTCGTAAATGTACAGAAACTCGCCTTTTTGACATCAATCAAGCTTATTTGGTGCAAAATAGAAGTAGGTTTGCCTCTTTCGATGTGTTATAATCAGCAAGACAAATTATTTTTCAAATGTCTCTCTTGTAATTGGGGTGTATGCCAGTTAATGGTCAATGGTTTCCATGGATAAAACTAGGTATCCATGGAAATTGTATGGTTTAGAATATTCGGAATATTCTTCGTTTCGCATGTATTCGGAAAAAGAATATTTTATCGCTTCATTGAGCATTCGTTTCAGCCCTACAAAATACCAAGCGAGAAAGTGAATATTGAGCCCGTTCCGGTTTGCAGCCTCTTTCCTATTTGAAACCGTCTCCTCTACCATGTGTACTGTAGCTTTAGTTGGATAAAGTGCCCTTGCACGGGTCGGCTGTATAGCAAAGACAAGTCCACAGTCATGTAGATCTAGTACAGCAGCTGCTGATTGTTCTGTTGCATGCAAGTCTGCTGCATTTGAGTCGTGTTGTGTTGCTACTGTTGCGAATGCTGTGACTCCTGCTCTATGTTGCAACTGTAGCCAACAGTACATACCCCCCCCCCCCCCCCCCAGGGTGTCCAACACCACCAGTCTGTGGCCCTAGTGCGGGGTGTCTGCAATGACAGAACTTCATATCCCGTGACAAACTCAGTACACATTGTTTCCTCCCTGGGCATGATACAGCGTTGGGGTTCAACTCTCTGCTGGTCGCGCACTGTTTGCCAGCATAACATAATAGCATTGAACCATATCATGGGATGTGAAGTCCTGCCGTCGCAAGACAGTTGTACCCTCTTGGGGTATGTTCCGTTAAGTGCCCTTGACCCCCCCCCCCCCCCCCCCCCCCGCCATGTCGCTTCCCAGCTGGGTTTTCGGCAGGGGGCGGGAATTAGATCAAGGCTGTCAAGTGCAGAGTACGATGTACAACAACACAGAAGATGAGACCTGGCGTGCTCAGCTGGATTGTGTACGTTTTCATCCTGCATTGGCATGTATTGTGCATCCTAGCTGTCCTGCAGGCAATGATACATTTTCTAGTCTGCTAGATGGTGGTGCTGTCTGCTTCAATACTGTGAAAAATCCTGTGCCCTGATCAGATGTTTTTCCAGACTCACCACGGGATAAAGTGGTGTTCTTTAGCGTTTTGAATGCATGTCCTCCTTGTTGTTGGAGTTGGGTTGACCTGCAGTATGGCTGAGCTAGGCCACTCATTGCTGTTAGTGTGTAGTGGGTGTGAAGGGGGGGGGGGGGTAGTTTGTAGTGTGTGTGAAGGGGGGGGTAGTTTGTAGTGGGTGTGAAGGGGGGGGGGGGGGTAGTTTGTAGTGGGTGTGAAGGGGGGGGGGGGGGGGGGGGGTAGTGTGTGTGTGGGTGCATGTGCATGCTGACTGTTCTGTTTATCCAATGTCCTTGATTGCTACGAGTTGTGTGTGTGTCTGTATGTGTGTGTGTGTAACAAGTGTGCATGTGTCTAAGCTATTTTTGTGGATGCTGCATAACTCTCTAACTCTCTGAACTGTGTTGAACTAATGTGCATGTGTGTGTTTATTATTGCTGTTGTTGTTGATGTTGCATAACTCCCAGACTCACTACTAATGCTAAACTGAATGGTATGAATATACCCTGAATGGTATGAACAGACCCGTAACAAGCTAACAGTGCTAATAGACGTACTTGAATGTACACGAGCAAGCTTCTGGATACTCAATAAGAGCTGTGTGTGAGCCGTCCATACCTCTTACTAATTCCTAGTACTCCTAAGACTGGTCTGTACTGGAGTGGAGCGTTTACACCTAATTCTCTGCGGTGGTTTTCTGGTGTAGCACATGCTGGGTGATCCTTCCGCAATGCCACATCATGATGAAGGTCTTCCCATGAAGGACTATGAGGTCAGCACACCTGTTTGTTGTGGTGTCTTTCTGTGCGTGTGTGTGTGTGCGTTTGTGGGTGAATGTGTGTGTGTGTGTGTGTGTGTGTGTGTGTGTGTGTGTGTACGTGTTTGTATGTGCAGCGATTTCCAATCGATAGGTTGCGGGTTCGATTCCCGACGATTATGGTCACACACGTCTTTCTTCTCTTTCTCAGACTCTTCCTGACTTTTCTTTCATTCTCCTGGGTGGTTACCAACAGCCAGTGTATGCCGGAGTATGTGGTGTGGTGTGTGTGTAGAAAAAGAAAAAAATAGAAAAATAGAAAAAAAATGGAAAAATGAAAAATAGGGATTCACTGGCCAGAAAAAGTCACTTCAAACAGCTGTGTGGTGGATACCAGGCTAAAAATAGTGGCGGTCAATTCATCAGCCTTGCAAGCTGTTGAATGGTGTAATCCCAGCACAAGTTGCTATGTCTAACATAGCTGTTCGCTATCATCGCTCCCGCGATGGGCATGTCTGAGGTCTGAGGTCTGAGGTGTGTACGTGTTTGTGTGTGTGTGTGTGTGTGTGTGTGTGTGTACGTGTTTGGGTGTGTGTGTGGTGGTATTCGTGTGTATGATCATATCTTTTGTAGACTATGTATCGTGCAAAGCTCGCTGTGTTTCTGACTGTTAGAGCACTCTGACTTCGATGCTTTTGGCCGATTTAAACATGCTTCGATGTTCACTAGACCTGTTCGCAATCGGTTCAGCCAGTCACCATGAAATCCACTGAGGAGACCGAACAAGGTCGAAACAGCTAGAAGCCTGGAGAATGGAGAGAATAGAGTATGTATCAGCTTTCTAATCCGGGCTCAAGGTGCTCAGAGTTTGGGCTATTATGTTCCCGTGTCGTCTTCCTTGTCTATGTATAGGCTTTGACTGCCTGGTATTCAGATATTTTTGGAGCTGATGCTTTTTGCACTTTGCTTTAGGGACTCATTAGCGCAGGCACCAAATCATGTTGCTTTTCCGGCTTTCGTTGTGCCGTACATGTCAGCAAGTGTGAGATTGTATTCTGGTGTAGGGTCACCAGGGTCACAGTAGTAGTAGGGTGTGTTGTTGTACTCGTATGGTATCTGTATGAAGTCTGTAGCATAGTGATATGTCAGTATATAGCAGTGTTGTGACCTGCATGTGTGTGTGTGTGTGTGTGTGTGTGTCTTTCTGTATGTGTCTTTCTGTGTGCGTGCATGTGTGCGTGTGTGTGTGTGTGTGTGTGTGTGTGTGTGTGTGTGTGTGTGCTTCTCTTGCGACGGGCGTATACATGGTACATGATACATGGTGTGTGTGGACGCCTGTGTGTGTCTGCATGTGTGTGTGCGTGCATGTATATTTGTTCCATGCAGAGTCTTAACTATGACCAGTGTCCCAATGTTCCCTATCGGACCAAGATCAAGAGCCTATCTGAAAAGGTTAGTCCACCACCACCAACAGTACATAGCCCCAGGAGAATGCAAGTGCATGCACCCTTGTCTCGTGTTGTCTCAGTTGTCAGTTGTCTTGTCGTCTCCTTGGAGAAGGAACTACACAACCTCCGTGCATGCTGCGACAGCAGAACTTCACATCACGTGACATGCCAGCATCAAAAGGTGATGCTGGCGAACAGTGCAAAGTGACCACAAGAGTTGAACCCAAAGCAGGGTTGCGTACAGCCATGTATTTATCATGCACAGGCTGCCAATAATGTGTATGGCTTTGTTACGTGATGTGAAGTTCTGCTGTCGCAGACCCCATAGCTGGAGTTGCACACTTTTAGGGTGTGTACTGTTGGTGGCAATTCCAGTCGTATGTTTGTGCATGCGACGCCTTTGAGTACTAATTATTTGACTGCGCCAGTCAAAGTGACCTGCATGTATGCCAGTACTTGCCTAATAGGCGCTGAAAAATGCAACTACTTTGGCGCGCTTCCATGCGCATGACGCCCCAACATCCAGAAAAATGCACATGAAAGCGTTGTTTCATACGTACACGCGCCAGTTGTGAGTGCAGCTTTTAACTAGAAGCGTTACAAATGGTGACTCAGACCTCTATGACAGGTCTTTTTGCACCTCAAAACATGTGCATGCGGACTGTTGCCAGTCGAGAATATTTCGCCGATGGAGAAAAATTGCGCCTTCTAATTTCGTAACGGGATGCACAGTGGAAAAAGGAAATAATTATGAAAAGAAAGAAAAAAGAATGTACAACCCCACAAAGCCTGCAATTAAAAACGAATGAGAGAGAGAGAGAGAGAGAGAGAGAGAGAGAGAGAGAGAGGGAGAGAGAGAGAGAGAGACTAATGTCAGTTCCGTGACGTTTTCTCTGCAACGTCTCGGGCTTATTACTGTCATGTGTCTGAACCTAATCATTGCTTCTGTGTTTGTGTGTGTTTGTGTACAGACATTTGCATGTCAATATCTTATGCGCTGGGTGATGGTAGCAGCTATTGGTGCAACAACAGGATTTGTAAGTCTGAACACTCTCACTGTTGCTCCTCCTTCAGTCCTGTGATGATTTGTTAGACTTGGGAGCTGGTCACACATTTCCTTTACGCAGATCGATTTCCACCTGGAAATGTTTGCTATTGGTGTCAGCTTCATGAGACAACTGGCGGGTACCGAAGAACTGGGGGTCAGCCTCCTAGCCTAGGCTGCTCGTATTTACATCTACATGTGCATGTACAGTAAAACCTGTCAAGGCGACCGCTCGGATAAGGCGACCACCTGCCCCAGAAGACCACTGTAACCAGGACCAAGGGATGCTATTTCCAGTCAAACGACCCTGGATAAGGAGACCACCTGGTAACAGAGACCGCATTTTGAAGGTCCCTTGAACGGTCGTCGTCTTAGGGGCCGTCCGGGGTTACCGACTGTTTTTACAGAACGAAAAGTTTTAGTATTTTTCAGCCCCCACCCACCCACCCACCTTTTCTGCAGGTAAAACGAATTCCAATAAAATATTGATGTCAATTTTCGACATCCAGAAGTAACTGGGCATTCTCAATCAGCATTCAATAATTATTTTCAAAACGAAACACCATCAAACCCACCCACCCACAAACGAAAACATTTCGTTTTGAAAATATTATTGGTAACCTTGGACAGCCCCTTAGACAGGTTTCACTGTACATGTAATACAGTCTATTGTACTACAGTCTATGCACAGTTGAGTCACCGTGTACACATTGGTATGCTGTGCTTGGTGAAATCCTAGCCTGCTCGTTCTTCGGCACCGGACAGAACTGTAGTTTTACTATAGCGCTTCGCTTCGTGTCGGCTTACTTTTGCCATTGCATACTCATCGCGGAAGTCGCCAACATTTGCAGATTGCAAAGGTTTCCCGGTTTTGCAGTACCGGTAGGTCATTAGATGCCTAGGACCCTGTTCGACTGGCAGTTAGCATTGAAGGAATATCATGATGTATTGCAGCCTCCTCCGCCCTGCACGTTGGATTTCGAGAGATGAATTTCTTGAGGAAGGTCAATGGTTGTGTGCTAGGGGTGGAGAAGGGGGGGGGGGGGGGGGGGGGGGGGGAGAGAGTGCTTCAGTTCCGTGCGAGGCTAGTTTGCAGTGCGGCATCAATATTTTCTTCTTGTTTCCCTGTACTTTGTGTGTGTGTGTGTGTACTGTGCTTACCTGCTTAGATCGCTTTTCTCATTGACTTTATCGTGCGCCGTCTGACTCAGTTGAAGTTCAACACAGTGCGAGACCGTATCCTCAATGACTGCTTGCCAAGCATGGCATGTTGGAATGTTCTTTCACGGTGTGGGTGTCGAGCTCATAAATAGAGCTCGTATTTCTTAGCCCACCCATAGTGTAGGTACTCTAATTTCAGAAATTTTCGGTGCTCAATATTTTCGGTATGAGGGCAACAGGACAGGTTAGGTGAACAGAAATTGTCGGTACAGAGAAGCAGTTCCCTATTGGATTATGTGTGTTAGTGTTTGTTCGGTGTATTGAAATTTTAGGTATGAAACAGACGCACCGAAAGTACCGAAAATAAAAGTACACCGAAAATTTGTGAAATTACAGTATTCTGGGTTGGGGTCTGTTTGATTACCCCCCCCCCCCCCCCCCCTCTCTCTCTATCTCTCTCTTTCTCTCTATCTCTCTCTCTCTCTCTCTCTGATGTTTAATTCCTTGACTTGATTTGTTTGTGAAGATCTTCTAGTATGGGCACCACAGGGCAACCTCATCCTGGCGTTATTGCTGCTTGTTGCTTTCAATGCGGCATTCGCTCTGGTTGCAGCGATTCTGACAGCAATAGAGGTAGGGCATTACACCGTCTTGTTCTGACCAGTAGAGAGACAGACAGAGGGGCAGATTCAAGGGGGATTAGACACCGACTCCTCAATATGGTGTTCGTGGTAGCCATGTAGTTCAAGTAGCAATTTGTTGTTTGAATTCAACGCGTTGAGTTCTTTGTCCATTGTTGTTCTCACATTTTGCTGATTGCAATAAAAGTCAAAAACTTTGTCGAGTAGCAATATGTTGTTCGGTTGCAGTGCTCGTCTGCGATATCAAAGCTTGTGTCTTGGTCATGTTTACTAAAGCCGTTGTTGTTTGCATGTTTGTGTGTGTGTGTGTGTGCGTGTGTGTGTGTGTGTGTGTGTGTGTTTGTGTGTGTGTGTAGCCGGTAGCTGCAGGCAGTGGAATACCGGAGATCAAGTGTTACCTGAATGGTGTAAAGGTGAGCACGGGGTGTACATGTATGTCCACGTGCCTCACTCATTCACAGGCAGAATGACATCCGTACCAGTGATTATTGACCTGGGTGGCTTGCATGTCTTATTACCTTCCCACTGCAATGCCTCTATGTTCAAATTGCCAATGCCCCAGGCTTGAGGGGTCTTCCTCAATGCTAGGGTGATGCATCATCTGGTATGCCTGAATGTTGGTCTCACTGCATACGTCTCTGCATGTCTGACGTTGTGTTTTCACAGGTACCACATGTTGCCAGGTTACGCACTCTTGTGTCCAAGGCTGTTGGTGTACTGTTCAGCGTAGCGGGAGGTAAGTTTGTGCCTAGGGGTGGCTGAGGATATGCGGGTGCATGGGTGTGTTTGAGTATGTGCGTGTGTGTGTTGGGGGGGGGGGGGGGGGTGGGGTATGGTATGTGCGTGCGTGTGGGGGTGTGCTATAAGAGAAAATCTTTGTGTGCACATCCAGTGCATTTGCAGATTTGCGTGCTTCTTTTGCGCTGGGCGTGTACATGGTACATGGTGTGCGCATGGATGTGCATGATTGTGCTCTCAACTCTGTACTAAGCATAGCCGCTGTGTACTGCTGCTGTTGATTAATCTTGTATTCCAGGTTTCTTTGTTGGCAAGGAGGGTCCCATGATCCACACGGGTGCTATTGTAGGCTCCGGTCTACCACAAGTAAGTACGAGTTGTAAAATTACTGCCAGGTCTGTTGTAATAATATGTTTGGTTACCTATCCACTGAAGGTCTTTTTTGCATGTTTACTATTAGCCTGTAGGACTTACCGCATGGTTCTGCTGTAGACTTAGTGTAGGGCTGCTGTTGCTCAGGCTATGTGTGTGGGTGCGTGGGTGTGTAGGTAGGTGTTTGTGTGTGTGGGGGGGGGGGGGGGGGGAGGGGAGGGGGTGTAGCTTGGTGTGTGTGTGGGGGGGGGGGGGGGGGGTGCACGTGGGGCTGGGATATCTGTCAGTCCAGAAAACAATGTTGGGGTTGAATCGGATTAACTGTCTCTCTCTCTCTCTCTCTCTTTCTCTCTCTCTCTCTCCATCTCTAACTCTCTCTCTCTCTCTCTCTCTCTCTCTCAACCCTTGTGCAGTTCCAGAGCATAGCATTCCGCTTTATCAATTTTGACTACTCCTACTTCCGGTCTGATCGGTGAGTATCCGTACTCGGTTTTTGATGTCATACGCTGTACTCCCACCCTTGTGGCTATTATCTTGTATGCGTGTGTGTGTCCAATGTTATGATTCGCTTTCTATGCCCTAGTGCCCAACACCATCATGTAGACTCCACCGCTGTATGAGATATGTGACTGACATGGACGTCTCTTCCCATTTCCCTGAATTTCGTGTATCAACCGGTTTAAAGATTTGTGAATTTGTGGGTTGTGTGCATGGGTTGGTTTGTTTTCTTACAGTGACAAGAGAGACTTTGTATCTAGTGGAGCGGCAGCTGGAGTAGCAGGTAAGATTGAAACAGACAGAACGGCGAAGACAGATATTGATGTGGAGAGAGATGTGGAGGTTGACAGATAGAGACCGAACGCCAGAGAAATAGCTCTATTTATTGTCATTATTCTAGTGTGTGGGGGTTCGTGTGTGTGTGTGGGGGGGGGGGGGGGGTGACATTAGCCAGGTCACCCTTGTCTTGCGATAGTGCTCTACGCAGCCAAGTAGAGCTTTCAAAATAAGCTGACACTGGCGATAAGGCTCTGCCGCAGTTGTTACTCAGTGTTTCATGGCACTGGGTCACTCATGATTGTTGTCATTATGGGAATACGAGTACGTGCTACTGTTGTGATTGTTTGGTTTGCTGTGGTGTTACTGTGAACACAGCTGCATTTGGTGCACCGATCGGAGGCGTGCTCTTCAGTTTAGAAGAAGGCTCGTCGTTCTGGAACCAGGCGCTGACATGGAGAACGGTGAGTTGTCAGCAAACTTTACCTGTATTATGCTGCATTGGATCATGGTTCTGAGAAACTGCTGGATGAACAAGAAAGGAGTACAGAACACTGATGTCAAGCAAACACATTTGTGGTGTCTTGCTGATTGATTTTTGCTGCGACCTATGTGTGTGTGTGCGTACGTGTGTGTGTGTGTGGTGTGTGTGTGTGTGTGTGTGTGTGTGTATGTGTGTGTGCGTGTGTGTGTGCATGTCTCTGTGTGCTCCTATGTGCGTGTGTGCATACCTAACTCCGGTACAACAGCTGTTCTGTTCCATGGTGTCCACGTTCACCCTCAACTTCTTCCTGTCCGGAACGTCCGAGATTGGCTGGGGCCGTCTTAACGAACCCAGTCTCATTGACTTTGGAGAGTTTGAGGTGAGCTATTGCACGCTGTATGTACTTGTTTGCTGCATAGTTCAGGCTATCATTAGCTTATCCCAGGTCATGTGACAGATGGTAATGATTGTACAGTGCAGTTTCACTTGATGAAATCCGACCCAAAGTATGTGTACATATTTGGTACCCAATACTTCTACGGCCCGTGATGCCGTGGAAGTCGGAGCACACTCGTATCTCGTTTATCCAGGCAGTTTTTTGGTTGATGTAGTACCCATGGAAAGATCTGTCATTGGAAACCTTTTTTCCGTATGTAGCAGAGTGAATACGTTTGATGGCCATTAATTTTAGGCAACCAGATGGTGTAAGAGTGATGTAATAGAAATAGGCCGGGGAGGGGGCATCAAGTTTGCACTTCAGATCGGATTTCACCTGATGCCACTGCAGTGTATATTATGTACGGTGTGCGGGTTAATATTTCAGTTTTTGTTCTGCTGCTGCTGGTAATGCTGTTGCTGCTTGTGGCACTGCTGCTGCTGCTGTTGTTGTTGTTGTTGTCCGGTCCCTTATCGTTATCCGTATCCTATGCAGTGTGAGTTTGGGCATTCCTGCAACCTGTGGACAGCCACTGACCTGGTGATTTTCGTTGCCATCGGCGCTATCGGCGGCTTGCTGGGTGCAGCGTTCAACACGCTCAACACTATTCTGACGCGCTATCGCATGAAGCACGTACAGCGCAAGGGCAAGATAGTCAAGTAAGGTGGCTTGACGGAAGTGGAGAGGCTGCTTGTGTATGGCTGGTAGCCCTGTTCTTACAAGTTGGGGGGGAGGAGCACTGCATACCCAGACCAACACCATGTGTTCACCTTTTTTAAAGTTCTTGTTTATATCATCTTTTAACTTTGCTGCTTGCCTACGTTCAAATGAAATCCGGGGAGATGAGCTGAGTTGGAGATGATTCCTTGAGTGTTGGACATACACTCAGCATGTGTAGTGTCTTTACTGTGTGCTCCTTCAGCTCAGTTCACTGACACTCAGCATGTGTAGTGTCTTTACTGTGTGCTCCTTCAGCTCAGTTCACTGACACTCAGCATGTGCAGTGTCTTTACTGTGTGCTCCTTCAGCTCAGTTCACTGACACTCAGCATGTGCAGTGTCTTTACTGTGTGCTCCTTCAGCTCAGTTCACTGACACTCAGCATGTGTAGTGTCTTTACTGTGTGCTCCTTCAGCTCAGTTCACTGACACTCAGCATGTGTAGTGTCTTTACTGTGTGCTCCTTCAGCTCAGTTCACTGTACCCGTGTTGCTGTATCTGCTGTGGCGTTGCCTCAACCCATTAGTCCGGTTATTCTTGTTGCAGAATTCTGGAGGCCATTCTCATCTCCATGGTGACGACGACGGCGACGTTTGCCGCCCTGACGATGATGGGGACCTGCCAGCCGTATGTAGCCTCGGTGATTCCGCAGGACGTGGAGCTGAACAACGACACGGTGACATTCTTCTGTCCCGATGGCTACTTCAACGACATGGCCACGCTCTTCTTCAATCCACAGGAAGCTGCCATCAAAGAGTTCTTCCATCAAAAGGGTAAGATTGAGATTGGGATGCCCTTCGGCTTTCCTTCCCGCTGCATTGCCCTTTACTTACCTTCCCGCTGTATTGCCGTTCGCTTTCCTTTCCTCCATGATGCCCTTCGCTTTCCTTCCCGCGGTTTGGCCTTCGCTTTCCTTCCCGCGGTTTGGCCTTCGCTTTCCTTCCCGCGTTTTGGCCTTCGCTTTCCTTTCTTCTGAGTTTAACTATCAACACTGTGAAGAAAGTGCTTTGGTAAAATGCATATCATTATTTGAATTGGTATTCAAGGTTCATAACTTACAGTCCATTTCAAAACTATAGACGCGTACCTAGCCAAAAACCGTTATGCCAGCATCTATACCACATAAAATCTGTGATCACTTTGTGCATAAATTTTTCCAAATTGGGCGTCTGTTATCCAATCGTTTAGAAACTAGTATATGAGAGTAATTGTGGAGCGGACCTGAGCAATATTCCGAAAACTATTCCCAAAAAGTTCCAGCCAAATTTGAAATATTTCAAAAACCCTACGCGTCTATAGTTTTGAAATGGACTGTAGCGCCATCCCCGTCGCAGTTTGTGTAGCGGCCAAAATCACTACAGCCATGGTGGTTATCATTGTCTTTGTCTGTTCTGCACCCGCCCTTGACCCTACATCATACATAGTGTCCATCAGTTGTCTGAAGATTGCCATCTGGCATGAAACTATTTGTTACAGCAAACCAGACGCGTGTTACTAGTACTCTGTGACTCGTGTGTTACTGCTCTGCTTCTGTATTGAGTACTCTATCGAACCGGAGGACTCCGCTCTCTGTAGTGTCCATCAGTACATGGGGGCATTGAGATCAGCTGCTTGCTCTAACCCTCTAGTCTCACACTTACCATGTCACTGCATGCCTACCTCAGGCCAAGTCATTTAGGTGTGCCCGTGTATAGGTCACTGTTTTCTGCTCTAGTGTGAGAAGCCCAGTCGCAGTTCTTTCTACAGGCACTGACTTATTTCAATGTGTGTATACATTTGTGTGTGTGTGCGTGTGGGTGCGTTTGTTTCCTTGCTCAGCAACCTTTTCCATTCCGACGCTGGTGTGTTACCTGGTGATGTTTTTCATTCTGGCGTGCTGGACCTACGGCGCTGGTATACCCAGTGGTCTGTTTGTCCCCTGCATTGCCTGTGGTGCGTCCTATGGACGACTAGTGGCCGAAATATTGGTGTAAGTCTGCTCAAGTCTGCTTTTACAACTCTGTTTCTACTACAGTGCTGCTCAATGAAATCCGATCGCGTGGGTCAAGTACGCGCTGCCGGGCATTGTGCAGCCGGGCGTTGTGCAACCCTAGACTTGCGGACACTGGGATGTTCACTGGTGCAGGGCGCAACGTTGACTCGCTTGATTGGACTTCATTAAGTAGCACTGTACATGCGTCTCTGGTGTCAAAACATTATGTTGGTCTAATTTGAGGTGTCTCTCCTTCTTCTTCTTTTTGCTGACTTGTTACCACGTAGACTTTTCGTGCAGCTCCACGCGGAGAAGTAAAATGTAACCAATGTCCTTCCGTTCTGTGTGTTTGTGTATTTGTATGCGTGTATTCGTGTGTGTGTGTGTGTGCGTGTGTGTGAGTGCATGCGCGTGCACATGTTTGTGTATTTGTGTTACAGCAAGGTCGGGTATCTGAATGAAGCCAATGTTTCAGTGGGGACGTACTCGCTGATCGGTGCTGCTGCTTTCCTTGGCGGTGTGGTACGCATGACCATCAGCTTGACGGTTATTCTGATGGAGTCTACGAACAACATCAGCTATGGAGTGCCCATTATGATCACACTAATGGTACGACCTACTCATATTCTCTTCTGTGTTCACTTCTGGAAGGGAGATAGACTGACAAACAGATGGACAGACAGACAGACAGGACAGGACAGCATTCACGTCTTAAGCAGAGTGCGGTCATGGTAGCGGGAACCCCTCGTTCTGTACTTCACTATGCTGGTCAACAAGAGTACATGAAAACCAGAGTGTGCAGCTCGGATGGGTTGCTGTCACGGCGAAATTCCGTGATTACATCATTTTAGTGATGTAGTGCGTACAAGCAGGATTCAAGCAGGTCTCTTTCTGCACAACTGCAGCTCAGTTGTACGCACTACGCCATTTCCCGCCTCAGATCTGCACGAAATATGATGTAATCACAGAATTCCGCCGTGACAGACACCCATAGCAGAGAAGGCCCCAAGCTGCGCACTCTGGTTTTCATGTACTCTTATGGTCAATCATCGTCTTGTTGAACTCAATAGAAGATGACTGGTCTGGTCTCTAAGGATATTATTCGTTCTGGCAACACGTATGCAGCTGTGCTGGCTGAAGTCCAACACAAAGTACAAAGCCAGCACCCTGGGGCCAGTTTCTTGTTTCTACATGTGTACACCCAGTAGTATTTGCACCACTTGCAGACACAGTCCAGGGCCGTTCAAGACCAAGGTGCTGAATATGCACTTTGGGTCTGATTTCTCCTAGCACAACCCGTACATGTGTGTTGTACTGGTGCTGGGTGTGACTGGTAGCATTGCTGATGTTGCTTTGTGCTCGTGTGTGTGTGTGTGTGTGTGTGTATGCGTGTGTGTGTGTGTGTGTGGTTATGTTGCGCAGGTGGCCAAGTGGATTGGAGACCTGTTCAATGAGGGTCTGTACGATATTCACATCCACCTGCGCGCCATACCGCTACTGGAATGGGAAGCTCCAGACATCACGCACAGGTAACCCACTGTCCTCTGCTGTGCTCAGCTGTGCTGGGCTGTGCTATGTGGAGCTTCGGCTGTACATGTATATACCTGTGACTTCTCTATCTATACTTTGTATTGCTGTCAGTAGTGTTAGGGTGAGCAGTGCAGTGCAGGAGCACTGTCAGTGCTGTAGTCTGATAGCAATGATAGCCTTGAATCTGGTTCTAGCATGCCCAGAGGCACTTTCCTTGGGATTTCCTGAGAATGCCCTCTCACTCATGAGTCCGCCTCGTGTGCGTGCGTGTGTGTTCTTTGTCTGCCTGTGTGGGTGTGTGTGTGCGTGTGTGTGTGTGTTCTTTGTCTGTCTGTGCGTATGTGTTTGTTCGCACATGTCTGTGGTGCCTGTACATTGCTCCGTCTTGTGTGCAGAATGACAGCATCGCACATCATGTCCACGCGCATCAAGTACCTGTATCCGAACACGCGTGTGCGTTCGTTGGTGCACATGCTACGCACCACAGCACACAGTGCGTTCCCCGTCATCACCAAACACAAGCGTTCCACACAGCTACAGGAGCTAGTGTCCCCACCAGCCAGCAGCACCAGTGCCAGTGCAGATCAGGACCCTGGTTTGGCAGCCAGCACGCGTAGTAAGTACTTCAGCCCTGCGTGTGTGTGTGGGGGGGGGGGGGGGGGGGGTGAGTGGGTGGGTGTGGGGGGGGGGGGGGGGTGTACTTCGAAGTACATGTATGTATGTGTGTGTGTTTGTGTGTGTGTGTGTGTGTGTGTGTGTGTGTGTGTGTGTGTGTGTGTGTGTGTGTGCACACACGGCACAGAGCACCACACATCATTCATTGTAACTAATAGGTTCATGCCCAAAGGCAAACATCAGACAACTATTAAATCTGTTGTATGTGCAATTGTGCTTCCATGTGTGTTTGTGTATGTGTGTTGTGCACCTGCTTACAGCTGAGTACTCCAAGGTACGGCTTCGTAGTAATGTGAACCAGAACAATCCCGAGTACATGGCACTCTGCCGTGCGCACGCTATGCAGGTATGTGCACTACTAGTTATACAATAAAACTGTAGAGATGGAAAATGGAGAATATTGCTGGGGGGGGGGGGGGGGGGGTAATGATGAGTCGGGATCATCCATTCCATTTTAATCTGAAGAAATTCCTGGTTACGTCAAAATACAATTTACCAGCTCTTCAATTGGTTTCATCTTTAGATCTTGTGGATTGAGAGGTCATTTCAACATGTAAGTGACTGCTTTGGACCTGGAGGAAATAACTGTTTGGATATTCAGCTTATGCGGTGACCGTTGCGTTTGACTACCTACATGTACTCGGGTGCATGCTGCATGACAAAATGATGGCTACCGAAACAGATTGTGTGGTGCTGCTTTCGTTCTGTCTGGCGCCAAGTTCTCCTCATTGGCCCTCTAATGCTATGCTTCGAAGTATGTGAGAAAGAAAAGCAGAGTGGAAATATGACCTTTTTCCGCTCTGTGCATGTATATATCTGCATGCGTGCGTGCGTGCATGTGTGTATGTGCGTGTGCGTGCGTGTGTTCTTGCAGCATGCACCCGACTTACTCAGCATCCGTACGTCCCGGATGACCTTCTCTATGTCCCATTCCGGTCACGTCTCGCGTCAAGCCAGCAATAACATGTCACGCCAACCCAGCAATGAAAGCAGTAGCGAACCATCGCCTCTCGGCCCCTCGCCCATGTCCTCGTCCACATCCTCACTGCACAGTGATCAGCATGACATGCAGGGCAGCGAGACTGTCCTGCTCTTTCACGGCATGGTGCTGCGGCATCACCTAGTCAAGTTGCTCAAGGAGCGCTTGTGCGTGCCAGAGGAAGAAGTCGAGGTGAGTTTAGAAAGTGCGGATGATTAGTCGGCTATGCAGTGGGAATAGTCGGCTATGCAGTGGGAATAGTCGGCCATGCAGTGGGAATAGTCGGCCATGCAGTGGGAATAGTCGGCTATGCAGTGGGAATAGTCGGCTATGCAGTGGGAATAGTCGGCCATGCAGTGGGAATAGTCGGCCATGCAGTGGGAATAGTCGGCTATGCAGTGGGAATAGTCGGCTATGCAGTGGGAATAGTCGGCCATGCAGTGGGAATTTTTCACAGTCATTGTTCTTGTTTGTCAAGCCTTGCCCAGCTCAACTTAGGTTGGAATGGACAATGCCCGTGGCTATCGTATGCATGCTGTTTTGCTACATGCTGATTACACCGTCCATAGGACAGCAGGCGTATGTTACAAGCACACGGAGCAGAATAACATCGCGCGCAACGGGAAGCCGCTAGTTCCTCCTGCACCGCACTTGTGTTTGATTTGTTCTGTGTGTTTGTTGTGATTCCACAGGAGCAATCTAAACTCTCAGTGTTGGATTATGACAAGTTGCTTTGTGACTATCCACGCTTTCCTGACATTCACGATATCACGGTGGCATCGGAAGACATGGACAAAATTGTGGTACGTTTGTCCTCTCCGGGGTTTCTGATCATCCACTCCTGCTCTCTCTCTCTCTCTCTCTCTCTCTCTCTCTCTCTCTCTCTCTCTCTCTCTCTCTCTCTCTCTCTCTCTCTCTCTCTCTCTCTCTCTCTCTCTCTCTCTCTCTCTCTCTCCCTCTCTTTCTGCCTGCTTGCCTGCCACGTTTCCCTTGTTTTTCTTGTGTGATATCTCTGTTGTATATTTGATTTGCATGACCACTGCAGACACATGCTGTGAAGTGATATGCTCTCAACCAGCGGTATACGGTTGTGATTGGGATCCCTGATAAGTTACAACCATAATTATGTTGGTTGAATGATGTGTGTTGCTGTTGCTGGGTGTGCAGGATTTGACGCCCTACATGAACCCATGTCCGTACACCGTGTCGGCTCTGAGCCCGGTCCCGTACGTGTTCAACCTGTTCAGAACGATGGGACTGCGACACTTGCCAGTTATGGACAGCATGGGACAGGTTAGGGTACAGCATGTTCTTCTCTGTGCGCCTTGATCCTTGAGGGTGGTGGCATTCCTACGGATGCGGGAAACTCGGCCTATAGCCGAGTCTAACGCAAAGCGCGAATTTGTTCTATCACACGCACACAATGGGTGTAGTGTACTTTGCTGCATGTGCTGCACAGCTCACAGCTCTGTCCATGCTCCTACATACACGGGTACAGTGAAACCTTGGTTTGCCGGACACTGTACCAAACGCAATCCTGTATTGACCGGACAAATTGTCATGCGCCAAAGTGCTGTGGATCGAACGTGCATCCCTGGATCAAGCGGAATTCGGTCATTTCATGACAGTTTCCCCTGCACCAAGGCCAAGGGCGTCCAGTTAGTGCAGGCTTTACTGTACACACGTCAAGCATGGAATCCAGCTTCACTTGTCCGCTAGCGTTGCTATAAATTGAGAGAAAATCAGTGGGTGTTGGTGTCTACATCCGGTGCACTTGCAGATTGCACCCGATACACGCATGACAACTGATCCTTGAGATTGGTGGCCTGCGAAGTCAGTTTGACTGGCTCGTTTAAATAATATAGTAGTTGTGAACTGTTTGCTTGTTGCATGACAGTATTAATTTTGGTTTGTGTTTCATGACACTTACGTGCTTCACGGGATGCTAACTGACATTTATGCTTGTATGCTTGTGTGCTTTGTAGATTGTGGGAGTGATCACGCGGCACAACCTGACGCATGCTTTCCTGGAGCGCTGCATGGAAAGACACGGCTTGTCCCATGACTAACGTACCAACAGTGAAGTTTTCCCACTAAATAATGGCTTTTTTACGATTTTACTTTGAAGTGCAGGAATCCTGATAATGATTTTACGTCGGCGTACGCTGAAATCTGGAGTGTGCGTGTTTTTGTGCTGGACTTGATGACACTTTTGCGAATGGTCTGAGCAAGCACGGCGCACGGCCATATGTCGGATGGACAGCCTGTTTATGACGCCTGCCTGCGTGTACGTGTGCACCACTCAAACTGTCAAAGTCTTGATTGTTCCTGACCGGTGCACGTCGTGAATTCTTCCAGGACTGGCCCTGATCTGCACCGATCTGTAGCTTGAGACGAGGGTCACATGCTGTTGGCATCCTGAGTCGCCTGAGTTCGCTTTGTATGATGTGGATGCTTGCTTGACGTTGTTCACTTGTAGAAGGTAAAACCATCCAGCGCCTATGGTATCTTCTTCCAACTGTGAATTTCCGTGTCGGACAGACTCCCAGCTTATATCACCTTGCTTGACTTGGTTTTCCCTGGAGCTGGGTACAGTGATGTGTTTGTGAAGGCCATTGCCACAATTCACCTCGGCTCACTTGCTGATGTCGAGTCTGTGATTGCTTTTGTGCGGCTTAGCACATGTTTTGGGCAGTGGCAACCCCGCGTCGCATCGCTGCGTTTCTGCTCGTGTTGCACTGTGCTGCACCAGTTGCCACGTCGAACCTCCCCCGCCCATATGCCCGGAGTGAAGATGCCTTCTTCTCTGTTTGCACAGTGTTTGGCGGCGGCTCTTCAAACTGCATACCTAGGACGCTGTCTGTCTGATAGCACAGAGGAACATCAGCAGGCATGCATGTGCAGCTTGAGTCTGTGCTGATCCATCTCTGGACTCTGATGGTGGTCACGGGCCCACAGTGCTTCTATCCCAATCCCCCGCCGCTTGACGCAGCATGCAGAGAGATCCATTGCTGCCTAATTCTGACTGTATTTGCCGTCATGCTGTATCAAGTGTTTATGCTCCACTACGTGGTGAGTGTTGAATTGGCAGGCGTGTATCCACAACTAAAATAACTTGTTGACTTATTTATTACATCTATTTTATTTTTTATCATCATGCTTTTTTTAACTTATTTTATATAGTTTGTATTGCGTACATAAGACGAAAACTCCGTGAGAGTTTGCATCCTCCCAAAGTGAATATTTCCAGTCGTATGCATTGAACACATAGGATATGAATTATTTTGATCGTCTTTGTGTGTGTGTGTGTGTGTGTGTGTGTGTGTGTGTGTGTGTGTGTGTGTGTGTGTGTGTGTGTGTGTGTGTGTGCGTGTACGTGTGTGTGTGTGTGTGCGCGCGCGCGCGTGCGTGGGGTTGGGGGCAATAGCATTATCCAGTGCCAGTACTGCGGATTCCCACTATCGTTGATAGATGTCAGCAGACTCGCGTTCTTTTATCGCAACTAAGCAAAATGTTACTTGATGGGAAATGGTTTCGTCTGTGAAGGAGGGACGGGAGCTAGGGTCTCTCTGCTGCATGATTTGAAGACAAGTGCCAGGAGCTGCAGGCATGTGATTCGGCGGTGTATGTACATTGCACTGAGAACTGGTAAACTGCAAAAAGACAACCCATATCCGGCAAGGAATAGAACACACAATTGCAGTGTTGGCATAGCATTATCATACACGCTGTACGCTGTACACGCACGCTGTACTCTTTGTTTGCATGTGCAGTAGGCCTCTTTTACGGGCAAAAGCAGCGCAATAATTATGATGAAAGACTGCAACATGTCATGTACATTGTACTACTTTTATTTTACTTATATTATTGATTATTACGGATAACCCAAAGGCTGAAGTGCCTATGTCAAGGGGTGTTTCTGGACAAACAAGCATCGTGTAATACTGTAAACCAAGGACTAGTGTATTGTACTACTCTCTGGTGTAAACCTTAAGCCGTGGTCATAAAATCATGCAACACATTTCGTCCCGTGAGCAACTTTAGCCGCGATGTGGAAATGAAGCTTTTGGCAGTCATCAAACTAACTGTTACTAGTAAGTGTTAGATACTTTAGCCCAGTACAGGGTCGGCCGGCCATGCATTTGCCATTGCTCTGTCCCCTTGGAAAAACGCGATTCCGCGGCCGCGGCAAATTTCGCAGAAGTATTAGTTGCCATCATCCGCGGAAATCACGGAATCCACAGTGAGTGCGTTCGATTACACACTTGAATCGATTCATGAATCCATTCGCATGCATTCAAGTCGTTCGATTTCATGTCATGAGCCCTGGAATCGATTCGGAATCCGTTCACTCCATTCACATGGGGTGATGTGAATAGCGCGAATCGATTCATGAATCGATCCATGAGAGAAGTTTTCGCAGATGACGAAACGGAAGGCCTCCTTCTAGCAGACGCCTCAAACGCGTTCAATTGCTTGAATCGTGCTGTATATCTGCAGAACATCCAGCATCTTTGTCCAGCCATGTCACCAGTTGTCATCAACACTTACAGGCAACCCGCACAGCTCTTTGTCGGTGGAGAAGTCATCCTCTCTTCCGAAGGTACCACGCAGGGGGACCCGATTGCAATGCCTCTCTATGCTCTCGGTGTTCTTCCTTTGCTGCAGTCAGTCTCTACTGCAAATACTGTGCAAGCCTGGTTTGCTGATGACTCAGGAGCAGGTGGCAAGCTGATGCCTTTGCGTGCATGGTGGCATAGCCTAACAGAGCAAGGTCCTGCCTACGGCTATCATCTCAACCCGTCCAAGTCGGTTCTCCTGGTTAAACCGAAGCATTATGATCGAGCAGTGGAGATGTTCGCCGACACTGGAGTTGACATCCGCGTCGATGGTTGCCGGTACCTGGGTTCGGCTATTGGTACGCCTGCGTTCCTGGATAGCTTTGTTGAGCAGAAGGCAACAAGATGGCTCAACCTCGTGGAGAAGTTGTCCTCGTATGCGGAAACGCAACCACAAGCTGCATACGCTGCACTCACCCAAGGCCTGCAGAATAAGTGGTCTTTCCTCTGCCGCACCACACCAACAGCTGCAGCTGCTCTGACGCCTGTGGAGAAGCTGCTAATGGAGAGGCTCATCCCCGCTCTTACCGGCCATATTGTCAACTCGGAGGAAAGGTCAATTCTTGCGCTTCCATGTCGTCACGGAGGGCTCGGGCTGGGCAATCCCGTGGATCTCGCATCCCAGTATGATGCATCGCGAAGGGTGACTGAGTCCTTGCAGACCAACATCAAGCTGCAGACTATGGCGCTCGGCTCTGCAACCAGTCTCGTTCGTACTGCCAAGGCGGAGGTGAGGATAACAGCACGGAATGCTGTCAAAGCCCAAGCCCTGCTGCTCCGCTCCAGTGTGCCGGAGGCCAAGCAGCGTGTAATCGACCTGGCTGCGGAGAAGGGCTCTTCCAGTTGGCTGACCTGCAGGCCCTTGAAGCGCCATGGATTTGCCCTCTCCAAAGCGGAGTTTCGCGATGGAGTGCACCTAAGGTACAACTGGCAACCACAGCGCATGCCATCAGGGTGCGTTTGTGGAAGCCAGTTTACTGTGGCCCATGCCCTCTCGTGCCCCACCGGCGGTTACCCTACCATCAGGCATAACGAGATCCGCGATGTGACCGCTGGTTTCTTGAAGCGTGTTGCCACCAACGTATCTGTAGAGCCTCATCTGGAGCCCCTGAGTGGGGAGCAGCTGCGCTATCGCACCGCCATCCTCGACGACCAGGCTCGCTTGGACGTAGCAGCAAATGGAGTGTGGGGAGGGCGGTTCGAACGCACCTTCTTCGACGTCCGGGTGTTCAACCCTTTTGCGTCTTCGAACCAGTCCTCCTCCATTTCTGCCACCTACGTTCGCCATGAGAAAGCGAAGAAGAGATCGTATGAAGAGAGGCTGCGGGAGATCGAGCATGCTTCATTTGTCCCGTTGGTCTTCTCGACAACCGGTGGCATGGGCAAGCAATCTGCCTCGCTTTACAAGCGAATTGCATCTCTCATTGCTGAGAAAAGCGGCGAACCGTATTCGGTTGTTATGTCATTCATCCGTTGCCGCCTTAGCTTTGCGTTGCTCAGAGCGAGTGTCATGTGCCTGCGTGGTAGCCGCTCTGTTTTCGCTGTACATGCACCTGTCTCTTCTTCTGCCTCCCTAGTTGCTGCCGAAGCTGGCACTTCCCGTCATTAATTTTATAGTCTTTAGTTCTTTAATATTATTATTTGCCATGGCGACCCCCGTAAGCCCAAATAGCTGGCAGGGCAGGGTTGGGCCTTTTTTTCTTTTACTTCACAGGTGTAGCATTCTATCAGTCATTACGTATGATTTATACAGTGGCAGATTCATGAATCGATTCGTGAATCGATTCACGTGCATAATCGAACGCACTCACTTTTGCCCGCGGAATCTGAATTTTTTAGGGTAAATTACTAAAATTACTACTCAGAAAGCAGCAGAAAAACTACTTTGCGACTGTTTGAGCACATTTCTCTTGCCAGTGCATGCGCAGGTCTCTCCAAGATTCTTCGCTCTTATTCAGTTTGTGACTGCAAAGGATAGTATGAAAAGTGCTCCTTCATGCGACTAATTGTCATATCCTCTACGAGGAGGGTGAAAAACTTGCAGAAAGTGCCGCAGAAAACCCCCCTTTTCCCCGCGGAATTTTGAATTCTTCGCCGCGTTTTTCCAAAGGGATAGAAAATTTGCTCCTATGACACGCTCAGACAGGCCTCAACCAGCAGCGAAAATTGGATGGTTTACAGCAGCATCACTGCCTACATTGTAATAGTGCCTATGCTACTTGTGTACATGTGAATGACTGTACTAATTGAGATTCAATGTAGTCCATTGTCAGATGTTGAAATTCTGAAAACAGACCATGCAACATGCATCTACAAGCTGCTCTTCGTATTCATCCTTTTCATAGGTGTACATGACTTGCATGATGGCAGCCTGGGTGCAACTACTTGGACCACCGCAAGTACAGTGGGCAGCGCAGCTTGAGAGCATGACCCACACCACACACCAAGGAATCTCTGGAACACGTGTCACTTCACACGTTTCTTCTGTAGTGCTAAAAAAAACAATGCAAACACTCTATAGTACGCGAACTGCACTTCTGGCGCGCAGCTCTACTGCTAAGCATAGCATTAAAATATAGGTCGGAAAAAGTATAGTCGAATCTGAAATCTCTAGGAGGAACGACGAGGAAGACTGGGCTGAAGTCAGTGAAGAAAATAGTGAGGTTGTAAGAAAATGGGTAAAAATATGAACTCTAAATTTCTAGTGCCGGCTTAGGAGTAGAGTTATTCATAGTGATGGGGGACAAGTACGGTGACAACACCACGACACCACAGCTCTGCTGGGCCTATTCTACGCAGTGTGCCAGATCGGCACTGTCAGATCAAGACGACGATTACAAGGTGCGTTACGCTAGCTATCCAGCAACGCAGGCAACAACAAAATTCGGTGGAGACCTCCAGACGCACGGACAAGATTAACAGCAAGCACAAATACAGACAAACTACCTCACTTTCCTCCAGGGAACAGCGAGAATTAAAACAAAAGCAGCAGGGAGAGTGGACGCGGGACAAGAGAATGCCGCAGCGTTGTGGACACAAGATGTTGGACAGGGAGAGTAGGACGTCGTCAGGACCTACGCAGCTTGGACACGAGGCTCTTGGTGATGCCCAGCGAAGCACCGATGGCAAACCGGACGAAGTTATCACCAACGAGTGGTCCCATTGCGTAGAGGTCAGGCATGCGCGTGCTCTCAAATGTCCCCATATCCACATCCACCGGGTTAGCACGACTGTCAAAGTCCGCTGACGGTTCAAAAGCCAGATTCTGACCACTCTGTGGAAGGAAGCTGAGATTGGGGCGGCTGCCAGCAGCGACGAAGATGTAAGAGCATGGTAGAATGACGTCTCTCTGCTCGCTGTCCTGCAGTGTGCACGACTCTGGAGATACACTGACTATGTGATGACACGGAAGAGAGATGTACGGCTCGGCGGAGTCGAACACCAGCGGCTTGTCGGTGAAGCCCACCCGCGTCTGCATCAGCTTGCTGATGCGGCTGTACTCCGGGTAGACAAACGCCGGCATGCGATTGACCACCAGGGATGTGTCGGACGGTGGTCGTCCAAACACGTGCACGACAGGCAGGTTATGCTGCAGGGCTAGCAATACGGTGTCAGCGGCTGTTAGACCACAGCCCACCACCACCAGTGGTCTAGCACAACTCACACGACCAGCGATGGAGCGTAGCCTTCCCGGTGTTGGGCAGCCATACGACAGCAAGTCCATTCCCTCGCCGGGCACGTTGAGACGACGTGGTTCGTCGGACGTGCCCACGGCGACCACCACCTGTTTGGCGTTGAAGTGGAACGGTTTACGACTGTGACATCCGCACACAGACCAATTGTACTTGGCTGAGCTGGCCTCCACCGGCATGGTCTGAGTGTCGACGCCAGAGTCTTTCTCTTCATACCCGTCGGTGATGGATGAAGCAGAGGACGAAGATGAAGCAGGACTACTGGTATTAGAGTGAGGAATACACGGTACAAGAACATCGTCACCGATGCTGGTGGCACTGTATTGGCTGCTGAGGCTTTCGGAGCTACTGGTCGACATGCAGCCACAGTGGCTAGCAGCGGCGGTGGTTGTGATTGGTACTGATGATGCTGGAGAGGGAGACACACTCATGGTACAGAGGCGTGACTCCGCTGCCGTAGTCGGTGTAATACAGGCACTGCTGAATGGGTCGCTGAGCTGCTGGCCTAGCGGAGAAGGGGAACATGATGGCAGCGACACACAACAGCTGTTCTGGGGAAAGACGGACAGGAATGGCGAACCGTCAATGGAGTCCTGGTCACCAAGGTGATCCAAGCGCCGTATCTGAGTCACCTCTGCGCTGCAGAAAAAGTGTGTGTGAAGGTTCTTACGGCGTACGTACTGCTGATAGTAGTGGGCCACCACACCACAGCGGCCACGCTCTATGGCGGACGTTTCGCTCTTGGACATTTGCTGGATGAAGTCGGTGATGGACATGTCGGGCAGCTGCAGCCAGCGTGCGTAGCTGAGCGACTGCAGGTCAGCTGGCATGTTGGCCCAGCTACCGCCAACACATCCCCGTCCCAGCACCACATGGTCGATGGCAAGCTCGGGATGGTGTCGCCACTTGACTACGGGTGGTGCCTGGCAACCTAGGTCAGCGTCGGGCAGCAGTAGCTGGTCATAGAGCAATGAGACTGGGTTATTGCACCGGCCTGATAGTGATAGGCCTTCGCTGAGGAACTCCAAGTCCTGAACAAGTGAACAGCAAGCAAACAGACATGACATAAGTGCCCGGTTTAGCAACAATACCAGTACTGTCCACACCTGATATAACAAACACCATTGTGCAGGAGAATTGGTTCCTTAAAGCCGAAGTTTGTTATAACAGAAATGCACTCACACTATACAAGCAGCAAGTCATGACTGGCAAGTGGCCCATGACAGTACGAGTGCACTTGGTTTACATGCATACCTACAAGATTTGGTTCGCTATACACGAAAACTACGAAAACTGTTCGCTATAAATGGTCAATTTTGTATGGGTTCAAACAGGGACATGGACAAGGGTTCGCTATATGCCAGTTCGTTATAAGTGGAGCTGACTGTATTACTAGCAGCACCACCAGCATGGTACAGGTACACAGCACAAGTGCACACTACAATGGAACAGGGGGGAGTCGCAAAATTCTCAATACTCCAGTTGCAATGGGCGCTTTTCGCGGCTCAAGAACTCGCAGGGCTTTTCAGCACTTTGAGGATTGTTTCTACCCACAGGCGAGAGTTTTCTCTTTGACCTGGATGTTGGGATCATTGGTTTGACGATGTGTTGAAGTTTTGCACTCAATGGCCCTATTTTTTCGCATTTGAATGTGTTTAGGCAATAGGGAGCCCCCTCCCCACACCTCCTGACTAAGCTCTTCTTTCCAAGTTTTTGAAGCTCTGTATTGTAATCATGTCCCTACACTTCAGATGGACTGACACAGTGAAAGACTATTCAAGAGAGCCATTTAGGAGAATAGTGGCTATTTTAAGTGCTCCAGCCAGAGAGATACAGTAGAATGGGGAACAAGACAGTGACTGTAACCACACTGTAATCTGTTGTGATGCATCTGACAGGTTCAAGTGCCATTAGTGCTATCAAGTATGGGCTACTCTCAGTCTCAGTGCTCTTGCATAGGAATTCTGTACTCATGGATGCATATGTGGTCAAGTGGCCACTGAGTGACACTACATGTAGGCATGTAGGTCCCTGCCAGATCAGAGTGTACACTTCCATTGTACAGCTGACAAAGCCATGCCACCCAGTGCACTGGCCAAGCACTGCATAGTGCACTGGCCAAGCACTGCATAGTGAATGGGCATACTAGTACTACACTGCACAATGGTCAATGCAGTGACTCACTGGGCATACTATTACTAGTACACTGCACTGCACTGGGCAAGCACACACATGCTACAGTGCAGTACAGCTGGCATGCTCTGAACAAGCACTGGGCCATGAGTCAGTTGAGAGCTGGAGAGACAGAGAGCTGCTGGAGTCTGTGAACTCAGAAACCAGAGAACATGACCTGATGGCTGTGATGAGGTGCAGGCAAGGAGGGCAATGTGCAGGAAGGAAAGGGCAGATCTTCCTTCCCAAACTACAGACTACTATTCCGCATTATATCACTAGTGCACTGGTGCCCCTACAACTGAACTCAGGTGACAACCAGACAGCCAAACACAGCTCATTTCCTTAGCTGTCCAAGGTACAAGGAGAGATCAAGTAATTGAACATTAGCTGGACAGACAGACAACTGCACAGTCATACTAGTAATCACCTTAGAACACTAGACGTGCCTGCATTGCACACCACTGCCAGAAACACAATGAAATGAGCCATTCCAATGTTCTGTGACACAGAAGGCAGCTTCCGGCATGTGATTCACAACTGACGGACATGGGACATGGGTGTCACCATTCTGATATGCATAGCCACACTGAAAGTGGAGGGTCTACACTCTATAGCCATGTACATGTAGAGCCGCCGGCAAGGACACAAACAATCATACAGCCAGTACTCCCACAACGGCCGGTCACAAGCCTATGGTACGTTTGCCATTACTGTATTATCCTCTGGCCCACATGCTCCAAACATCTAACAGCAAATACATTTAAAGTAGTACGAATGCCACAGCATACATTCCACTGTCGGAGACGCTTAGAAGGCATTACTTGATCTCTTTTAAACGTTGCTTGACGATTTTGCTTCCTATCTGGTGCCAGATCGGGTAAGGAACATTCTGCCCGTCCCATTTACGCATGTGCAGGAGTGTCAGTTTGAACGACAGCTACGACACCACGTCACAAAACAAGAAACACGACAAACTACAATAGTACAAAGGCGGGACCATACTGCTCACAACTAACAGTATTTTAAACCAGTAAAATTCCACAGCGCATCTGCATCTGTACCACATATTTCGTTATGGTCCAGCTACACACAGTTTTAGATAATCCTTCCAGACACCTCCCCAGTACAAACTCAACTCATTACATGTTTGGATAAGCATTTCCCACCAATAGTGGCAATACTACCCCACCCACCTAATGTTACATGACTGTACAGTAGTGCACCTCAGTGCAGTTTGCAGTACGTGTACTAGTACCGGATGAGCTAGAGTGACCTGAGAGTGAGGCAGTGACTGTGAGTGTGAGGGAGAGCATCATCCTGCAAAGTTAGTTTATATTTGTGTAGAGTACTACAGTCTACAATGATGTCGACTCAGAGCGGAAGTATTTTACCTGATCGAGAATCGACTGTTCCTCACACGCCGCGAGTTTGGGAGCCAGGTATTCGTTAGGGTGAACCTGCCCATTCCAATACGGCCGATATCCAGTCAGCAAGAAAGATAGAGCGATCGCTGATGGTCCATTGCCTGCAAGTGTGTATGCAACACATGTACGAACCATACGCAGCAAAACATCAGTTTCATGATACAAAACAAAACATGGTGAATCGATCACAGAACAAAACGTGGCAAGATCGACACAGCGGAAACAGACAAAAGCCTCCAGCCGCAGTGCAGGTACGCAACACCTCAAACAGCCCTGAGGCAACGGCAGCACATTGATTACTATTTACATGACATTGTATTTCAACTCGATCAAGCTAGCACTTCTAACCGTGTGAAACATATCAAAACGATCTGCATTCGTACCTATCACGGCAACTTCTACGTCGTCTCTCAAAGAAGATTTGACCTGTTGTTTCTCTCCTGTTGCCATCCAGGGACTCCGCGGAGCCAGCAA